GGTGGAACCCGGCCTCGGCGCGTCCCGCCCAGGTCGCTCCCGCGCTTGGAGAGGGGCGTGGTCGGGCCCAGCTCTGGTTGCGCTCCACCTCCGGCCCCGCGCCCGACCAGCCTCGCACCGGCCTGGAAGGCCGCCTCGCTGGAGAGGAGGTGTGCCCTCCAAGCCACAGTGAAAATGTGCCCCCTGGCCGGCTTCCAGGGGAGTAGGTGACTCTCTAACTCAGGACCGCCTGTCCCCACTCCGTCATCTCTTATGCAACACCCGGGCTGGTGGCAGAGTGCGGGCCCGGAGGTTCCGAGCCCACATCGGGCCAGAGAGGTGCCCCTCACCCTCAGAGGCAATCCACAGCCTTACAAGCTTCAGAAACTGCAACGCACATTCTGCTATGAAATTTATTCAGAAGCGGGCCTCTGCTGTCCACACAATAGCTTCCAGCTCCCCTGCGGTCTACACGTGTCCACGATTGCTGCTGGCCAGTGGGGGACGCTCGCAGCCCAGCTCCGAGATGCTCTCATACACATTTTCCAGGGGTTCCTGGTCCACACCCTGGCCCGACCACACTGTGGGGGCCCCTGCATCCCTCCTTTTGGGCTTGTTGACCCTGGAGTACAGAGTGTCCACCTGGGGAGAGGAAGCCACCTGGGAAAGGGGTCAGCATCACCCACTCACCCAAGATCCGCCCATACCCACCTCCCTTACCCACTGTACCTGGGAGGCTGGGGTCACCTCAGCCTTCTGCTGCCCATGGAGGCCCTTGTCTGCCCCCTTGAGCTTCTGGATGCTGGCATATTCTGCTGCCCCAGGGCCCAGCCCAGGCCTGGCCCGACCACTGGTCAGCTGGGCCCCTGACCACACCTCAGGGCTGGCTGCCAGGCTCGCTCTGGGCAGGGCTGCCAGGCCCACGTTGGAATAGGTCTCAGAGCCAGCAGAGGCCAAGGTGGCCACTGCAGGCCAGGGCTGGGGTAGCTCTGGGTGTGGACAAGTCGGGAGCACGGCAGGCAGCCTGAGGGTGCCCCTGTGCCCCTCCGGCCAGTGAGGGTGCAGGAGGTCCATGCTGGCGGGCCGAGGGGCTGGAGAGGGGGGAAGGGCAAGTCACTTGAGGACAGCAGTACCACCTGAAGTGGATGAGGGCTCAGTGTAGTCAGCCATCCCCCAACCCCCAACCCCCAGTACCCTAACCTCGGCCACCTCTCTGGCCCCTGTGCAGCTCATGCAGCCTCGTGTCCGATTTGCTGAGTGTGCGGAGGTGGGTCTGTCTCAGCTGCATCTGCAGGCCAGAGGGCTGGTCAGCGCCCCACCCTGAGCTCCCCCAGACCCCCCACCGCCCTGTCAGTACTCGGACTCACTCACCAAGTCTGCAGGTATCTCAGCTCCCTGAAGCCCCACCCCCTGCCTCGGCGCCCGTTTCCTGGGGTGAGAAGGCCATCAGATCAGGATGGCAGAGGGACTGGGTACCAGCACCCTTTCCTCCTTGGCTTGCACCCTGTTGAATTCCGCCTCGGGCCAACACCCCTCCCCAGCCCCAGGGGAGATGGGCACAGATGACATACCTGTGGCAGACGGAGCACAGAGCCCACAGCCCAAGCAGCAGCACACAGCCTGCTAGGATCCCAAGGGCAGGGGGTGCCCAGGGCAGCTGCGGCCCCATCCCACACAGAGCGACCTGGGGCAAAGAAAGGCAACTGAGGCCCCAAGGGGTCCCTGCAGCCCTGCCCCCAACTTGGCTGATGGGCTTGGTGAACTGACTCAGCACACAGGAAGCCCCAGCCCACAGTCTCCTCCCAGGCGCGGCGCCCCCAGCCGCTCCTCGGGAGGGGATGGAGGCCAGCTCTGCCCCGTGTTCCCTCAAGGACCACAGAAGTGGTCCTTCTGAGCACTGGCTAGGGAGGGAGGCTGGGCAGCCATGGCCACACAGCCCAGTCTTAGAGACCTGGGAAAGCCCAAGGCCCCACTGGACTGCAGCTAACAGTGACACCCACATGACTCCTGTAGCCCTCACCCACTCATCTGGCTCTCAACCCACCATTTGTGCTACCCCCACCCCAGCCCCCACCTGGAATGTGGCTCTTTACTGGGGTCCTAGCAGGGCTGGGTAACACAGCAGTCACAGCCCAGCTCGTAGCCTACCAGAGGAGGGGGGCGGGGTGGATTCTGGTAAGCATGAGGGGAGCAGATGGTGCTAGTCTCAAATCTTCCTGGCTGGCAAGGCCCTGGAGGGGGACTTAAGCGGGAGATTAGAGGTGGACAGCTCTTACCCCGCCTGGGCTCCGTGGCGCCTTCTCAGCTTCTGAGCAGGAGCCAGCAGCCTGGGCGTGCCACAGCCATGCCCCCACCTCACTTCCTGCCATGTTGACGCCTCCCCACCTAGCCTCGGCTGTAGCCTGCCACCTGCAAGCAGCTGCCCCCACCAGTTCTGGCTGTGACACCCCCAACTCTCCATGACCACTCCCCCATGGTGGTCACCACCACCAATCCCAGAGGGCACACCTGGGCTGTCCCTGCAGAACAACCCTGTACCCATGCTGTCCTGGGTGTCTGCCACAAGAAGGTGGCAGGTGGCCTCAAGTGGAGGACAAGTGGCAATGCCAACACTTCTGGGCACCTCCAGACCCCAAGAGCCCAGTCTACCTGTTCCCACAGCCGCTCCAAGAAAGCCCCTTTCCCCCAGAGACGCTGCAGCAGCCAAGTGACCACTGAGACAAGTCATAAAACCACTTTAATGTCCCGGCTCCAGGGCCCCGATGACACTGGCAATGTGTTCGGAAGAGTCCAGAGGGCAATCTCCTCGGTCGTGGTCAGAGAGGCAAGGTGCCCAGTAGGAAACAGCAGCCCCTCTTCTGGGCAGTCTGACTCCGCCAGAGGCTGGTGCTAGAACTCAGTCATCTTCTTGTGGGTGTCTGCCTTCCGCTGCTGGCGCTGCAGTCCCGCCTCCTGGGCCCGGAGCTGCCCCAGTTGGCGCTGGGCGCCTGCCAGCTTCTCCTGCAGCTGGGCCACTGCTACGGTTTGCCTACAAAACGCCTACTGTCAGTACCGATGGAAACTCATGCCTCTGCAGCCCAGGGGCTGGCCATGCACTCACCCAGACCCTCCTAGAACCTGGCCCCCACTCACGGTCCAGGCTGTGACGCTTGGCACCACCAGTGCCCAGCCTGCACACACCTGCCCCGTGGTGCCCCCACCACGCACCTGCCAGAGTTGCGAGCGATGGCCTCCTGGATGGCCTGAATGTCCCGCTGAGCCCGTCCGATCTGCTCCCCAGTCTGGACTAGCTGCAGGCTCAGGGCCCGCTTGGTGCTCTGGCTGGCGTGGTAGGCTTCCTTGCCGCCGCGTGGCCCTGGGGGCACTCCCCCGGCTTGCAGGGCCCCAGGGGCCCTGGCCTGTAGCTTCTCATTCAGAAAGTCAAACACATTCCGGGGGGGAGGGCGGCCCGTGGGAGTGGTGCCCTTCTTCCGGGGCTTGGGGGGCTTTTGGGTGACCACCTTGTTGCCTCTCACTCTCCTCTGGCGGGCCTCGGCACACTGGTCCAGGGACTTCCCTCGGGGCAGCACCACGGTCTGGATGGGCTCCACCCGGCCCTGTGAGTTTCGACCTAGCCCTGGGGGAACACAGACACTGGTTGTGCTGCCAGGCCCCGCCCCAGGGCAGCCAGGACAGGAGACCCACGGTTCCCAGGCCCAGCCACCTGCCCTCCCCAGCCCCACCCCCAGGGTGGCACACTCACCCTTCCCTGGCTCGTAGCCCATCTTGGTGAGGAGCCTAGAGCCTATGCCGCGAGTGTGCACCTCCCAGCCAGCGAAGGCCGCACTATACGTCCCGTCTGCTGCAGGTCCAGCGTCCACAACTACAAGGAGAGGACACCGTTGCATCACCGAACGCTGCCAGACCCCGAGGATGCAACACAGCGCTCTGTGCATGCAGCCCAGGCCCCGTTCTGCGACACAGCGCGCTGTGCGTGCAGCCCAGGCCCCGTTCTGCGTGGACTCACAGGACATGGTGTTGGCAAGTACAACCCACTGCAGCACTTCTGCCCGGGCCCCTTCTCCCTGACCCCACTCCTCATCAAGCTCCGCCCCTCTTCACCGTGGAAACCACCATGGAAACCCTTCTTCCTGGGTGCCCTGTGTGTTGGGACTGGCACCCTTCCATCCAGTGCCCCCCGCATCCAGTGATCACTTCCTGTGTACCACCTTCCTTGGCAGCACCAACCCCGGTCCTCCCCTCTGGCGGCCTGTGCCTAGCTCTGCGCCACACCCACACCTAGCACCTCGAGCATAGCTTGCGTCGTCAGCATCACTGCCATCTTCGGAGTCAGAAGACTTGGCAGGCTCCATGCGTAGAGGTGGCAGCACGCCATCCCCCTCCACCACGACCTCCTTCAGCAGCAGCGAGTCAAACTTGACAGTATAGAAGCCGTTGTCCACATCTGGGGTGGGACAGGACATCAATGGGGGCAGTCTGAGCCCCACCCCACCACACTCCCAACCTTGGAGCAGGGCCCAACCTCCAAAGTAACACCGGACACACTGCGAGGGTGGGGACAGGATGCAGCTGACAGGGACACTGGGGTGGTGGCACCAAGGGCACGCTGCCTCACCGGTGATGCGTGCAGGGTGCCACAGGCCATCCTGGTGCTTGGCCAGACAGGCAGAACCCGCCTGCAAGGAGCTCAGGTCCGGGGCTTGGAAGGGACGAAGCTCGGCCATGGACACCACCTGCCCGTGTGAGAACCTGGGGAGTGGGTGGGGGCAGTAGTCAAGTAGGAAACACAGATACACCCGTGCACACGCAGATGTACACATGGACATGCACACACATCAAAATGTTGCTACGTTCGGAGGCATATATACACATGTATATATATATATATATATATATATATATACACACATGTATATATACACAGACAGGTATACCCACACATGTATACATACACAAACATACAAAAGGGTTTTAAAAAGTTTTTGGAAAAATGGAATGCAGTGATAAATGGAATTTTCCAAGAACTTTTTGAAGCCTTTTTGTACATACACACATATGCATAAACATGCATACATGTAGTTCTGTGCAGACACACGTGTATACATTCAGGTATAACTGCATGTGTACACACACAGAGTGAGACACACAGATACACACACAAATCTCCCTCACTGACACTGAGTCCATTCTGGCTCACAGCAGCCCTAGAGGGCAGGGCAGGGCAGGCCGCCCCGCGGGTTTCTGAGACTAACGCCGTCCAGCAGTACACAGCCTCATCTTTCTCCCTCGGAGTGAGCTGCTGACCTTGTGGTTCACACATGTAAACAGAGATGTTTGTAAGCACATGTGCACACAGATACCAGACACATATACACATTTACAGAGATACACAGACATGCACACGTGTATACATGAGGGGTACCCCAAAAAAACCCCAAACCTGGAATCACCCCTCGCCCACGCAATGTATTTAAATTTTCTACAAAACAACTTTTATCACCTTCAGAGTACTCTCCATTACACTTAATACATTTGTCAAATCTGATTTCATTCTTGGAAACATTTTTCAAACTCATGTTCAGATGGCTGACAGCACCACCCTCATTTTTTTCTTCACCTCTTCTACATCATAAAATCACTGTCCTTTCATGTCCCTCTTCATTCACAAATCAAAAAGAAGTCGCAAGGAGCGAGGTCAGATGAGTAAGGTGTGTGGGGTAAGAGAGACATGCTGGGGTTTTTTTTGCCAAAATTTGGCACACTGAGATGGCTGCATGAGCAGGTGTATTGTCGTGGTGGCAAAACCAGTCGCCCATCTGTCACAAATCACCCTCCCCCCCACATCCACAGTTACACAATCTTTTCAGAACCTCTAAATAGAAGGCTTGATTAACAGCCTGACCTAGTGGCACAAACTCCAAATACTCTACAAGTTGACATTTTCTTCTGTATGGGAAGTTGATGGATGTCCAGAATGAGGTTTGTTATCAATCAAAATTTCACCGTTTTTTAAACCAGAATGCCTCTCGTACACTTGAGTTTTCCATAACGCTGTCCTTGAAGGCTGTGTCCAACATCACAACAATTTCTGTGGCATTTTTCCCCAGCAGGAAACAACATTGCACAGCCACATGCTGTTCTCTTAAATTGCCAATATATGAGGTTCAAAGATTGAGGTTCACGTGGAGGGCGAGTGTGGTGGAAAGGGGGAACTGATTACAAGGATCTACATATAACCTCCTCCCTGGGGGACGGACAACAGAAAAGTGGGTGAAGGGAGACGTCGGACAGTGTAAGATATGAAAAACTAATAATAATTTATAAATTATCAAGGGTTCATGAGGGAGGGGGGAGTGGGGAAGGAGGGGTAAAGTGAGGAGCTGATGCCAAAGTCTTAAGTGGAGAGCAAATGTTATGAGAATGATGAGGGCAACGAATGTACAAATGTGCTTTACACAATTGATGTGTGTATGGATTGTGATAAAAGTTTGTATGACTCCCCAATAAAATGATTTTTTAAAAATTGAGGTTCACAAAAAACAAAGTTCGAACAAAACTGCTTTTTCGAAAAAAAATTCACTGTGACCAGAGAGGCGATGCCACTGGGTGCACTGACTCAGAGCCCCAACGGGAAAATTGCATAGAGTGAAAGCTCTGCTCCGCCCAGTGCAGTTCCGGTCTTTTTGGGGTACCCTTGTACACACAAGCCCACACACTCTCACTCTCTGTCAGGGTGACTTGACTATTGGGATCAGGCACCTGCCTCCAGGCTGATTTCCGGTGCTCCTGGCTGGAACTGACCACATGATCACAAATTTCCTCAGGTTGGAGAACCTGAAGTTTTGGTTATGAATAGCCAACCAAGGTGTGTGTGCACGGCCGCAAGCAGTCCACGTGTGCTTGCAGTAACACGACTGAGCCCACCCCAAACCAGCGAGGAGAACCAAGATACAGTACTGATGCCCTGGCAGTCAGGGATCAGTGAGCCAAAAACTCAAAACCTGAACCAAGAGCAGGATCTCGCCCCCACAGCTGGTACCAGGACTAACAGCAGCCAGGACCAGTGGGAAAACTATGGGCAGCATTCCCACGAGCACACATCTTCAACATAATGCCAGTAAATTCTCACACGAACTACACACCATGACAGGAAAATGAGGCAGGTTCAACATTCAACAATCAGTTAAGGTAACTATCACATCAATGGGTTAAAAACAGAAAACTGTAGGATTTTATCAGTAGAAGCAGAGGGCACTTGGCAAAATCCAAAAATGATTCGTGGTTTGAAAAATAAAAAACCTTCAGCAAACTGGGAGCACAGAGAAACTTCCTCCACTTGATCAATAAGATCTACTCAAAACCCTAAGCTCACATCCCACTCAATGTGAAAATGAGCAGCTTTCTCATGGAGAAGCCAGGCAAGGAGGCCCTGCTCACACTGCACTGGTAGTGCCAGCTAATGCAATCACTCAGGAGCCTGAAATAGACAACAGACAGCGGAGGGAGGAACACATAACAGTTCTTTGTTTTCAGATCTGACTGCCTCTGTAAAGACAGACAATGAGGACAACAAGCAACCACCTGGGAAGAAGAAATGGTCAAGCAAGGTTGCGGGACACTTGCTTAATACACAGAACTCCAATGGGAATTGAATTGGAAACGATAAAAGCAAACAATTTATTTTAGTCCTGAAAAGGGAAAGGATTCCCTGTGGAAAAACAGCTTGAGGGAATTTCCTCCCAAGCATGACCTCTGCCCTGTGTCCTCCCCAGAGGGCTCATGACTTCTATCCAGGTGGACTGGCATTTCCTAGGCATGCTGTACATAACCTGGGCTTTGAAACACCTTGCCTGGTTCTGGCTGCAGCCTGCCCTGGGATTGGAATACCCTCTGTGAGAAACAGATCAGTATGTTATGCACATGAACTTACTATGGCCTACTATATAAATGACAGGTCTGTGACCCACCAAGAGGGGACAGGGATTGGTAAGTTTGTGGCCTAAGTGGGAGAGTCCTGCCCAGAAATTGAGTTTCCTTCTACACAGAGTCAACTCGCAGACTGGCATTAAGCAGTAGCAGAGAAAGGAGAGGCAGGCTGACAACTCCCACCACCACCACCACCACCACCAAAGAGTTCTAAGGGCTGGTCAAAGACAGCTGACAGCCAGAGCCCAGGAGGGGCTGCAGCCCAGCTGGTGGGATGGTCAAAGCCTACAGCCAGGAGGTGGCTCCAAGAGCTGAGTAAGGTGCGACCCGGGCTGTGAGCAGGCGGGTGAGAGCAGAGAGGCCTGTCCTGAGGGCTGGGAGAGCCCAGCATGACAGTGACAAGGCCAGGAGCAGCAGGAAGAGCTCCCTGAACCGAGGGCGAGGTGTTTCCTGATGTGGCACTGTAGCCTACTTCTTCCTACTTCCCTGGACCTCTACTCAGTGAGGTCTGTGTGGCCACTGTGGTAACAAGTCAAACTCAGCCGAGAAAGGGTGCTGGGGAGAGCCGCTGGTGTCAGAACCTACAGAAAGGCTGGAGAGGGGCTGCCCCGGGGTCTCTTTAGCCCCCAGAAGGTAGTGTCAGCTCTGCTGACACTTTTCCTGAGGTGTGGTCTAACAAACACAACTCAAAGCTCCGAGAAAAAAAATCGAAGACATAAATGGATATAGAGAGAGTCCATGTTCATGGCCAAACCCAAACACCACTGCCCCCAAGTCAAGTCCGAATCACAGCGACCCTCAAGGACAGGGCAGAACTGCCCATAAGGAGAACAGCGTTGGAGGCCTGACATGACCTGACTTATGTCTTACGATCAAGACAGTGTGGTCTTAGATGAGGGAATAGGCACCTAGGTCAATGGGCACAGCAGTGAACCCAGGAATAGAGCCACACACAATCAACTCATCTTTGGCAAGGGAACAAAGGTGGAAGGACAGTCTTATCAAGTGTGCCGGACAACTCAGCAGCTACATGCCTGGAAAAATCAATCAAGACACTGGTCCTACACCTCTCGCAGAGAAGAACTGGAGACAAGGATCCAGACAGAATGCAGAAGGCAAAACCAGAAGCTCCCCTGGCAACAGCACAGGGTAAAACCCAGGCCTGGGTTTGGTGGTGAGTTTGCAGATAAAACCCAGAGCACAATCCAAGACAGACAAGTCTTTTTGCTGCACTCCACCTCCCACACCCACCCTTTACCAAGCCCGGTGTCCTTCTTCAGGGACTGGTCTCTTCTGGTAAAGCACACAAGGACACGTCTCTGGCTGTACTCTTGGCACTCTATGATGTAGTTAGTATTCTCCACCAATCCTCTGTGACTGCCATCAAGTCAATTCTACAGGAATCCACACAAACCAATTCTTCCTCAGTCTCCTTGCTCACTGCTCAGCTTCCACATGCATGTGAGGCATCCCTTCTCTGTGTGTCACGCTGCTGCTCACTGGTGCCGTTGTGAGGACTTTTTTTTCATGTTGACGTGTAATCCATATGAAAGGCTGTAGACTTAGGTCTTTACCAGTGTAGTGTGTGCTTCAGGTCCTCTCCCTTTCAGCAAGCGGCACCAGAGAATTGCAAACTAAAACAAAGAGACAGCTACACACCATTAGGATGACTAACACCCCAAACTCTGGCCACAGTGTATGCTGGGTAAGATGAGAGCAAGACACAGGTTGAGCCTAAGATGCAGAACTGCATGGCCAGTTATTCATCCCACTCAGCTCCTGTCGGCAAGTGGATGCCAACTCAGAGTGACCCTAGAGGACACAGAACTGCCTCCTGGGTGAGACAGTAATTCCTCACAGGAGTAGAAAGCCTCGTGTCTCCCTGTTTACCCAAATGAGGTAAAAACTTACGTTCACACAAAGACCTTCACGCAAATATTTATAGCCGCCCTTCCCAAATTGGCAGCAATGAAGATGTCCTTTAATCAGTAAAAGGGTAAGCAAGTCGTAGTCCACCCACAGCAGATTCTCACTCGGCAGCAGAACACGGGAAACGGCAAATGCTTGCCAGGTGAAGGCAGCGGTCTGGGAAGGCTGCCCATGCCGGGCTCCCCATTCTGACATTCTGGAACAGGCACAACTGGAGGGGCAGGAGGGGCGCCAGGGGTTTGGGGCCAGGAGGAGAGGAATGACGAGCAGAATACAGGCCACTGAGAGGGAACTGAGGCGGTTCTAAGTGACTGTAGTGGTGCGCCCACGACACTATGATTGGTCAATGCCCAGAGAGTGGGGCCAGAGTGCGTCCTGCTGTAAGGAAGGGATTGTAAGTCACAATGTATCGGCATCAGCTGGTCAATTCTACCAGACTCAGAGCCCATGGCTGTGCAGCTGAGCCAATCTGCCAGCAGGGACACTAGGGCCTTTAGCTGGCACCAATGTTTCAGGTGGCAGGTCATCTGTGACATGTGCTGTCACAGTCCTAGAGCTCTAGAGCACAGCGGCCCCTCATGTTAACCAGGGACTTCACCTACTCCATAGCAGTGTATCCAGGCTAGTTCACCAATCCTAACAAATGAACTCAACACTCACCAGACTGTACGAGAGAGTAAACCTAGCAGACTTCACCAAGTAACCAAGTGGTGACACTATGTCATCAATCACAATAAAGGGATTCAAAACCCGTGGAGCTGGCCACAGACCGCTCTCCTGTATATCACAGAAAGGCTGGGAGCCAGGAAAGTAACCACATTCCCACAGCGACTCCCCACGGGACAGGTATACCAGTGGGGGTGCAGGGTGCTGACAGAGGAAACGGTGCACTTCTTGCAAACCTAAAACTGCTCTAAGCGTATATAATTTTTAGAACAGAATGTTCTAAAAGTTAACTGGTGAAGAACAAGTTTCTAAAAATTACAGAGAAATTGACACGCACAAGAGATCGGACAAGAGGAACCCAAAGAAGAGTGAGGCCCGTTAAAATCTGTAATTCAAGAGCCTTTTCCAGAAAAACGAAAACAATTGTTTTAAATGAAAACTACACATTGAAGAATCACACCACGTCTCTGAGACTGCCATCCCGGGATGATGAACAAGCTGTAACCTAATGACAAGGAGCCGAGGTGCTGCAGGCTAAGCTCCAATGCGAACCTCCAATGCTGAGCTTCAAACCCACCAGCCACACTTTGCGGGAAAGAGGAGGCTGACAGCTCCTGGGAAGATTCGTGGCCTTGGAAACTCTGAGCCAGAACGGACTCGGAGGCAGTGGATCGCTGTAGTGGAGGGGCTGAACTCCATCAAGAGAAAGCAACAGGCCTTTGGGAGCTGAGGCCACACCAAGAGCCTGGGTGGACAAGGAAGAAGAGGGGTTTTTGACAGCAGTGTGCCTGTCAGGAGAAAGCCAAGTGAGGGACCTAACTCTCAAAGAACGTCTTGGGAGCAGGCCACGATGTGAAGGAAGCACAGCCACATCACCTGCCAGAGGCCAGGTCTTCCCGAGGAGCCTCAGGGACCAGGAGGCCCCCAACGGCCTGCTGTACTGTGAGGGCTGAGAGTGATGAGTAGTGACACCCCAGAGCAGTCGGGGTGGGGGTGGTGTTTGAGTGTGGAAGGGAGGCAGAGGCCTCTGCATCACTTGGGGACATCTTTGTTGTCCTGTGTCCGGAGCAGCAGCAGCCTAGGGTGGAGGAGGGGACAGGCATGGGTGATGCAGGGAAGGCTACAGCCAGACATTGGTTTGCATGGGAAATCGCAGTGGGAACTCCAGAAGCCTTGAAAAAGCTTGTGGTGGTGGCTGGCATTTATTAGCTGCTTCGGTCCGAGCCGGTAGCAGCTGAGAGGGAGCAAGGTCCGGGGCCTGTGCTGGAGGAATTGGCTCCCAGGCGTGCTGGCCCTTGCCATGATCCCAGGACACACACAGGCTCCGTGGTGAGGCCTCCAGGAGGAGGGTGGGGGCCTTGACGTGCTCCCCACAGGGGTACACAGTTGTCTCCTGTGAGAACGACTGGAGGGAGCTCCCGACTCAGGCAGGGGTTCTGCAAGCACAGGACACCGTGGCAGAGAGGACACTGGCCCAGGAGGGGGCTCTTGGGCAATAAAGGCGTTCAGGGAAAGAGGGACACTCTGGACTGTTAGAACGAGGGCATGGCTGCCTACAGAGTGGTCCATGCCCCTCCTCCTCCAAAGCAGAAGGGAGTAAAGACACAGTGGCCACTGCAAGCGGATGCCAGAGCATGAACCAGATGTTACCATCAAACTCGTGACTTGTGATCACACCGCTGAGACTGTTTTCTCTTAAACAAGTGCACCTGGAAGACTTACAGGTGAGAAACGAAACACTAACTCATGGAACTTGCTTTGAAATATTTCTGGAAGGTCACAGAGCATGTGCAGGGCGCAGGTGGCTGTGCTGGTGGCTGTGCCAGAGGCTGTAGGGTGCAAAGCTGTGTCTCTGCTTCTAGGACTTGGTGTCAGACAATGAGGACCAGATGTGTGGCCCCACCCCCAGTGATGGTGAAGCTGGTGGAACTAGCTCTGAAAGAGCTCAAGGCCCAAGAGACCCTCCTTGCACTCCCCTCACCTGTCAGCTCCTCACACCAGCTGAACCCAGGGTTAGTTCCTGCCGCTGCCCCCTTGCTTCTATGCCCCCTTTCGTTATCCACCCAAACCAGAAGACATTCCATGGTCCAGCCCGCGAATCCAAAACAGCCCTGCAAAGGATAGTGGCTTGTTGAGAACAGCTGGAACCACCAACAGAGCTGGGTGCAAGGCCCAGGCAAGGCCGTTCAACCCTCTCTGGCTCTGTGCCGGCAGACAAGGGAGCTGGAAAGGCCTCCCTCCTAAGAGCACAAGTGGCCATGGGCTGGTGGTCTAGTCTCTTTGCCAACCCTCTCTGCCGCTGCGCTTCTCCCAGACACTGTCTGAGCAAGGGCACTGCTGTGGGCATCCACCGCCCACAGAGCCCTCTCCTCGTCTGCAACTCCATAGGGGAAGACCCACAGCCGGGGGAGGCCACCGCTTTACCTGCAGTTCTCCTTGAAGCGGCACTTCCCTTCCAGGAAGAAGGGGCAAGGCTTCAGGGACTTGTGCGTGGGGTACAGGTACAGCACCCTCACTGCCGGCGAGCCATCCTCCACCTGCTCTGTGCCCACAATCATGGCATTGTGGTACTCCAGGGTGCCCCACGAGCTGTAGTATGGGGCGTTCACCTTGGTCCCACTCAGTTCATCATCCTCATCATCGTCCCCCTCTTCCTCCTCCTGCTCTAGGCTCTGGCGCCCAGGCTCTGTCTCTGCTCTGGAGTCGGTCTCCCATTTGGCTGAGGGGGCGTCTGGTACCTCCACCACGGGGGCAGCCGAGTCCTGGGAGGCCAGGCCCTCAGCTTGCTCCTGGGCCGGGCGCTCGGGGTCCAACGCGGTCAGCAGCTTGCTCTTCCGGACAGACACCAGGCTGGCCTCGGTTAGCTCGATCAGTTCCCTCAGGTCCCCCTGCAGCTGGCGCAGGTCGGCCTGCTCCGAAGTGTCCAGGCCGGTGCCCAGGGCCAGCTCCACCTGCTGCAATTGCACATAATAGGTCTGCAGGGCTGTCTCCAGGCCGGCCTCGTCCATCCTGGGGCAGGCGGGCGGCGGTGCTGGGTGCCCGGGCCTCGAGCTGCGAGGAAAAGGCGGGTGAACACGCAGCCCCACACCCCCCGGAGAGCCTGGCCGACTGCGCCCCGCGGGACGACTCGGCGACGGCTGCGGCGCAGCGGTGACGGCACCGGGGCCCACCGAGGCCTCCGGGCCGCCGCCCCCCGTGGCTCCTACACACACACACACACACCCCACCTCCGCATCCCAGGCTCGCGCTTACACCTTCCCTCCGCTTCGTCCGCCCTACTCGGCGCCGCCTCTCACCTCAGGCCCGGGCCCCGTTCCCTCAGCCCGCGGTCCCCGAGTCGCCCGCGCGGCTACCCGGCCTCTGCCATAGAGCGCCGCCGGTCTCAGTGGCTAGAGCGCCCCAGCCACCCTCCTTCCGCCGGGCACCGGCCTCCACTTCCGGTGGCGCGCCGCCGTCGGAAGTGCGCGGCGCGCGCGGAGGCCGACGGGAGGGTTTAGGTGGCCGGGCTGCCCCAGCAGGCGGCGCGCAGGATCCGTTCCGCGGCGGCCGAGCGCCGGCGGGCAGGTAGGCCGCGCTGTGGAGCCCCGAGTCCTCTCCAACGGGCAGGGCTCCCCTCCTCGGAGCCAGCGGGGGCTCCCGGCGAGTGCTGGCTCTGAGGAAGGCAAACAGGACTGCGACTTGTAGAGCCGAGTGTGGGAAGGGCCTGAGCCGGCCCCGCGCGTGCGAAGAGCCTCTCCGGAGGGCTGGCGGCACACCGGGTTGGTGTCGGGGGAGCGGGGAGGGAGAGCCTGGGAGGGGCCCAGAGCCCGGGGACACACCACTGTGGGGAGAGGCCGGGGCAAGGGAGAGGAGTCCGGTGGCGGGCGGACAGAGGTGGTGGGTGGAGCCGGAGGTGGCGAGAGCCTGCCATCTAGAGACGCGGAGCAAAGCGAAGGCGGCGAATGGGTCTCACGAGTGGTCCCAGGCGCTTGGACCGAGGAGGCCAGGCGCAGGTGTTGGGCCCCATTCGGGGAAGCTGGCGGAGTATAGGTCAGCTGTCCCTCCCCTCTGTGGATCTCTGCACCCTAGGGCAGGATGTACACGCTGCTGTCCGGCCTGTACAAGTACGTGTTCCAGAAGGACGAGTACTGCATTCTGATCCTGGGCCTGGACAATGCCGGGAAGACGGTGCGTGTTGGGCCCCTTCGAGTCTGCTGTGCAACCAGCGCCCAGACAGACTGCACCCCTTCTGAGACCCCAGGAAGGGCCCCTCACGTCCTCTCAGTGAGACTGGCTGTCTTCCGAGGACTGTGCCCAAGGAAGGGGTGTCTGGGAGACGGGCTTAAAAAGCTGTTGGCTAAAGCTGCCTTCCTCTATAGACCTTCCTGGAGCAATCAAAAACCCGCTTCCACAAGCACTACAAGGGTATGAGCCTGTCCAAGATCACCACCACCGTGGGCCTGAACAGTAAGTGGGGCCTCTCCCAGGGGCTGGTCCCTCAGTGCTGCCCAGTGGTCTGCTCCTTTCCAGCATTAGGGGTGTGGGGGCGTTGTCAGGTGTCCGGAAACAGGACCCCAGCCCCATGCTTTCCTTTCCTAGTTGGAACCGTGGATGTGGGGAAAACTCGCCTCATGTTCTGGGACTTAGGGGGCCAGGAGGAGCTGCAGTCGCTGTGGGACAAGGTAAGGCACCCTGAACATGTGTAGGGGCACACCTGAGTGTGTCAAGAGAGCTTGGGCCCACTGCCCCTCCTGGCCTGGCACCCCTGCCACACCCTTTTATCTCTGGCCCACCTCCCCCAATTCAGCCTCTCTCCTGCCCATCAGCAGCTGCTTTGCCCAGTGTCCTCAGGACTTTTGTCCCCAGGGCCACCCTGATCCCCGCCCCTGGCTTCATGGTCTTTGCCAGAGAGTAAGACTGCCTGTGGTTCCTCTCAGTCCAAACAGCCCTTGCAGGTGAGGGCAGCCTTCCCCACTGTGGAACAGCCTGCCCAAGGGCAGCAGCAGGGCCCCCTCTTTGACACTAATCTTGAGACCCCAGCACGGGGTCTCTCTGTCCCTCCACCCTGGGCCCCGTACCATGGCCCCTGCCCCCATCACAGGCAGCCCTGCTCCAACTGAGCAAGCTCCCAGCTCTGCCCGAGGTGTGCTGGTGTTGGCCAGAGCCTTCACCATACGGTTTGTCTTGCTTCTTGGGTGCGACTGGTCTTGGGACCAGTATTCGATTCGGGCCAGTGCCAGTTGTGGCCATCGGAAACCAGGGTGCTTCTTGTCAGAATGAGGGCTTCAGACCCATCCCACTGTAGGCAGAGGAAAGCAGGTGGTAGGCATGTTGTGTAACTACTGAGTTCCTGGTGTATCAGGTTTTGACCCAACTAGGAAGGAGCCCTGGGGGTGCAGAGAATTCCATTTTGGTCCAATAAACACAAGGTCAGTGGTTCAAAACCACCAGCCATTGAGTGGGAATGAGGCCAGCTGTCTGCTCCTGTAGAGACTTAAAACCTCAGAAGCCCACAGAGACAGGCCTCCTGTTCTGAGTCAGAATCAACCTGACGTCAGCGAGCTAGGTCCTGGTTTCAGGAAACGGGCAGTTAGGTCCAAAGATAGCAGCCAACCGAGCCGCTGAGGCAGTGCGCTCAGCTGCCATTTTGAAGCAGGGCATTGCCCCGTGCCCTCCCCACTGCCAGAGTCCATCCTGAGCCCCTAGCTGACCTAGGCTTTCTAAGACTGGCTGTCTTTACAGGGGCAGTCTCATCTTTCTTCCCCCGCACGCACGCCTGGTGGGTTTGAACTCAACACCTTGCAGTTAACAGCCCAACACAACCCACAGTGCCACCCAGACTCCTTGCCAATTTCCTTCTTGGGTCAAAATCACAGAGATTTGGTTGCTATGCATTGTCTACACTCCCTTGGTTTCTCTTATCCTTGACTGAACTGGTTTGGAGCCATGGTTGGAGACACCCAAATGCACCCAGGGAGCAGGATAAACCACATGGTAGTGTCCGTGTTCAAGGCAGGTTCAGGAGCGGGCACCAAGACTAACACTGTGTGTCTTGAGGATCAAAGACTGGGGGGAGAGGTGGGAGGCTGGTGGGGGCTGGGTGACGTCCCCAGGAAGCTCTGACAAAGGAAACGTGGCAGAGCCAGCAGTGGAGCCCGCTGTAGCTGCCCAGGCCTTGCCTCAGGCACCATGACTGCTGGCCAGCCTGGCATCCTGGCAGTACAACACGGACCCAGCCCCCAGGATTGTAGCCCTGCCCACTGCAGCCAGGCTGTCACTCTTGCCTCAACAGGGTCTCCTCTTGGCATCTGGAGTCCCTATGCACCCAGTGCAGACAGGGAAGCTGGTGGTGCGTGAGGGTCCCAGTGGGCTCTAGTGAGTTGGGCTGGAAAGGCTGACCGGCCGTCCTGGTGGAGGCAAAAGCGCCTGGTGTGGCGGCCATAGCCCAGGCCTCCTGAGTGCTCCGAGTGTGGCCACCCATCAGGCTTCAGGGTGCCCATTTGGCCCATCTCTGCTACCAGGGCCCCATGGCACACATGCCACCCCTGCCTGCCCTCCCCACACCCTGGCGGGCGGGTGGGGCGGCAGCATGTGCCCTACGGATCTCTGTCCCAGACTTTCTGATAGCTGCTTCTCTGGTCCTGCCACCTGCACGGGAGGTGCATAGTGCTCCTAGTGGCTGTGGAGGAGAGCACATGGGAGCTGCTTGAGCTGGGTCAGGTCTGCCAGGAGCTACCTGGAGGTGGCAGCTCTGGTCAGTGCTGTGGGGGTGGGGCGGGATCTGTCCCCTTCTCCCGCAGGTGCTCCCCCAGCACAGAGACTAAGAGGGAACTTCTCCACTGTCAACCCCAAGCCACTGCTGGGATGGGGGTCTGTGGGAAACAGAAGGATTTCTCCCAAGTTGTCTCCCCCCAAATATCTGCCAGACTTAGCTGCTTGAGAATGACTGTACACTTGGAGGTCATCAGAAATAGATCAGGGGTTATTTTCCCTAAGGGTTATCAGCCATCTAGACCAAGCAGTCACCACTGTTTGTCCCACAACAAGTAGGGCCCACTCCCTTCTGATAAGGATAGTAGTTGTCTGTTTCCTTGTAGGAGACCCCAGAGAGGTCAAACCCACCCAAGGGTGACCAAGATTAGGCCGCCATCATGAATCTAGGGTCCGCCCTTTTTGTCACATGTATACCTCTAGTTCCTCCCCTTCCTATCCTATGTATAGCCCTAGCTCATCCTCTTCCTGTTATGCCAATGCCCATTGTACATCCCCTTCCTATAATGTGTATGCCTATGGTACTGCCCCTTCCTATGACGTGCGGTTACCTGTAATCATGCCCACCTGCTAACTAGACATAACCCTTGGTTAGCAAGAAACGGGGTCCTCCAGCCTCCTGCCCTGTCCTCCAACCGGGTACTCGAGCATCCTGCCGGGTCCCTGCCCCACCTAGCATAGGCCCACGCTGTGCGCGGACCTCTTCTCTCATGCTCTCGATGACTTTTAACATAATCTTTATATATCTCAGCCGTACAATTTTGCTTACTGAACCCGTGATTAGTGGTGGGGGGCTGGCACCCATTCCAACCACAGGGGTCCACACCTGGGGGACCAGGTGGGTAGCAGGTCCTGTCAGCACCCTGCCCCCTCCAAATTGGGCAGTGTCCTTACCAAGGTCAACAGGCCACACCCTTAGAGGCCCTTCACTAGAAGGCCCCTTTCAATTGAGGGCTGCCTGTGATGCCTGTCCCATGAGTTGATGACTTCAGGGGGACTAGGCTGGGCCTGCCCTCGCTGAGTCCCTGCGGCCCTGTCTTCCCAGTACTATGCTGAGTGTCATGGTGTCATCTACGTCATCGACTCCACCGATGAGGGCAGGCTGCCTGAGTCCAAGCGGGCATTTGGTGAGCTGGCAAGAGCTGGGGGTGGCAGTGCTCAGTAAGGGACCTGGCCAGGGCTGGGGTGGAGGTATATATAGCAAGAGGTGACCTGAAGTGGTGGTACCCAGGGCCAAGGTGGCAGTGCTTGGCAAGGAAGATGGCTGGGGTAGAAGTCCCTAGGGCTGGGGTGACATTTTTGCCTGGGGCTGTGGGAGCAGTGCCCAATACCTCATTGCCCTTACACCTTGTCCACCCCCCAGAAAAGATGGTCACCAGTGAGGCATTGGAGGGTGTCCCCATCCTGGTGCTGGCCAACAAGCAAGATGTGGAGGTGAGTGTCGCTCCCCACCCCCACAGGACCTCGGCATTCTTCAAATACCAAAGGTACATCCCTGAGGAGCCCCAGCTGGTAAAGGCACAGGCCCTGGGGATATCACTGACCCCAACCTCCCTCAGACCTGCCTCTCGATTCCTGACATCAAGACAGCCTTCAGTGACTGCACGTCCAAGATCGGGAGACGGGACTGCCTCACCCAGGCCTGCTCAGCGCTCACAGGGTGAGTGGGGGCCCCGGCGGAGGGCAGGACTCATGGATTCCATGCTCACTCCCTCTCTCCCTGTAGCGAGGGTGTGAATGAGGGCATCGAGTGGGTGGTGAAGTGTGTCGTCCGCAACGTCCACCGGCCACCACGGCAGAGGGACATCACCTAGGATACAGCCAGCAGGCTTGACCCCGGCCCACTGTGGACGCTTCCCTTGTGATGGCAGCGTCTGCTGGTGCTGTGCCTGCTCTCCATTGCCTCGGTGGTCTCCGCCAAGCCAGTGCCTGGAGCCCCCCTGCTGGTCCAGACCAGGGGCTCCTGTGGACCCTTGAGCCATGGCAGCCACCCCCAACCCCCTCCACCTCGGTGTACAGTATGGCACCTGTGACCTCTGTTCCTGACCCTGGAGGTGGGCAGGACCACATCCACACCCAGAGCCCTGGCTTATGACTCTGGGGGGTGGGGTGGGGGGAGCACGGTGTGATGCGTGGAAAAGCTGGGAGCTTGGGTTGGGCGTCTTGGTACCCCCATCCTGCCTGGCACAGCACAGAACTCTCCTCACCTATTTGTGACCTCGGCATGGTGTTGGGCAGGTGGGCCCCCATGAGGCTAGGGTGACATGGCAGCCTGCATTCCTGGTAAGGGGTGTTCTTAAAAGTCCTCTGAGCACTCGCCTGGTATCCATGGGACAGCCATAACCCCCTCCCCAGGTTCCTCCCAAGTGCAGGCCTCTCCCTCCCCTGTAGGCCTGACCTGAGAGGCTGGGCTGGCCAGGGCCCCCACCCTGGTGAAATAAAGCTTCTGAATAGCTCTGGGCTCCTTCCTCCCGAGGGTGGGGGGCAGAGCGGGCTCTCCACTGTTGGCACCAGGACCTTGTCCTGGGCTTGGGGCCCAGCAAAACTCCAGAGGGAGTAGGCCTCCTTGGATGTGGCTGCACCAGATCCAGGGTGCTGATGCGTTGACAAAGGCCAGTAGCAATGGGGAGCTGAACTAGGAGGCCTCTTGAACCCAGGCTTAGGCAGAAGGAGGAGCAAGTAGGGAGATATGCCACCTGTTCCTGGGTATCTGGCACCCAATCCAAGGATTGGCCCTGGGAGACAGCCAAGCGGAAGAGGTGGCTCCGAAAACCCTGGACTGGGAAGCTAAGTCGTAAAGCTTTGCAACTTTATAAAAATAAACTTTACAATACGTGCAAACAGCCAATGAATAAATAAGGGGATGACCTGGCGGGCTTAAGGCACAGGGAAGAATCGCGAGCGGACACTGCGTTCCAGGCCTGCCAGTCTGGCAGCCCGCAGCACCCACAGCAACCGCGCCCCCAGGGCCCCATCGCCCGCACCCAGCTCCGCCAGCTGCCGCCGCAGTTTCAGTTGCGAGGCGGCGCGACCCTCCTCCCGCGACACCTGGCGCCTCCTCGCACCTAGGGCAGCCAGGGCTTGCTGCAGCCTCATGAGCCTCTTGAAGGAGATGTCCTGGAAGGCCACGAAGTCCAGAAGGGCGCGTTCGCACTCCTGGGACTCTGCGGGGGCGGGGAACTCCAGTCAGGCCCGCTGGCCCGGCCCCGGGGCAGCGCACCAGAAAAAAGTAGTCCGCTGCTGGGGAGTGGCTAGCGGGAGGGGCATGGCGAGGGAGAGGGTGCCGCGGGAAGCAGGGAAGGGGGAGCGGTAAGGGACGCGGCCCCTCACCGTCCCACCGCTCTCGGCCTCAGTTCCCCAATGTGCGGGTAAAGTGCCTCGCCGAGTTGACTGGCGGCAGGCTCACCTGACTTGGAAGCGTCGGGGGCGCTGAGCCCAAGGCGAGGGCAGCTGGTGCACAGCGCGTCGTGGAAGGCCGAGCCGGGCACGTTGAGGGTCAAACCCAGCGCTGAGCAGTTGCGGTGGGGCTGGCAGCGCTCTGAGCTCGAGCTGCCGGCCGAGAAGCTGCCTGGAAGGCAGGACTGGCACTCCGTATTCTGGCTAGGGGTGCCTGGAGGGGGTGCGGGAAGACGGAGTCACAGGAACTGTGGGGGCGGCGCCACCGCCCTGCGCCCCAACCTGGCCTGGGCACGCACCAGGAGCGACCACGCCGGCACCGGGCGGGCATTGCGCGTGCTCCAGGCAGAAGCCCGCGTGCGCGAAGAAACCGGCCCGGCAGCGGCAGGCTCGGTTGCGCGTGGTGCTGCACGGCTGCACCTCCTCCTCGCGCTCCCCGCAGACGACGTTACAGTAGCGGCAGCGCCCCAGGTAATTCCAGAACTGCGTGTAGTGGCGCGATGGGCAGGCGACGCAATCCGTGGGGCTGTCTCGGCGGCAGGGCCACTGCACAAAGGTGCCTGGCGGACACTGGTCGCACACCAGTAACTCCTGTGTCTCCTCATCCCGCCACGGGAAGGTGGGCGCCACGGTCACCGCCCCGTGCACAGCCAGCGTTATTAGCAGGGCGGGCAGCACCCACAGCAGGGTCCGTCCCGTCCACCCAGCTACCCTCATGGTCCTTGAGCCAGTCAGCGGCCTCCGGGGGTGCCCTGCTGCGGGGGAGGTTCGGGGCTCAGTAGCACCTGGGACAGCCTACCAGGGGCCGCCCGCTTTCCCGCAACGCGCGCTGGCCCCCTGCAAGCCAGCAAGGTTCCAGTCCTACCTGCCAAGGCCCAGTGTGCAGGAACTCTGGGCTCCAGGCACTTATGGGAGGCGGGGAGGGGCGGGATGACCCCGCCCTTGGGGGTGGAGGCTGTGACCTGAGGCGCAGGGCTGGATAGCGATCCAGGTCTCTTTCAGGCTGCAGCCCCTCTCCCTGGGGCCACTTGTAGCCCGTCTGGGGGTAGCCCCAGGGAGGCGTGTGTGCGGTCACCCCTGGGGGAGGGCAGCGCCCCTCCCTTGCCATATTCCATCAGGGATGCCCAGGGCTTATTCCCAGACAGCATGGGAAGGACACCCTTCCAGGACACCCCCCACCCACCCGACAACCATGTGGACACCAGCAGACAGGGTCAGGGTGTAGGCACTGTTAGCAGCTTTATTCAGGGGGCTCCTGCTGTCAAATTAAGAATGAGGATGACCCCCTGGGGGGGGGCCAGTGACTCCCACTGGGCAGCTCGCCCCTCCTTCTAGGCCTGGGTCAGATGGGAGGCTCAGCACCAGCTTGGAGCTGCCCTTTGTGTGGAGAGCCCCTGCCAGCCCTGGGGCCTGTGTTGTGGCACTGGGCTGCTGGCTCAAATGACGGGGCCAGGGAGGTAGGGGTCTCATGTCTGTCCCAGCAGGCCCCCTCAGGCACAGGCCAGAACACTTGGGAGAGGCTCTGCTTCCGGGTGGCAGTGTGGCAGGCCAGGCATGTCCTAGAAGCCTGTGGAGACAGAGTTCACTGGAAAGACTGCTGAGTACCAGGGAGGGGGAGGGGGGCCTCATGGGAGGGGTGGGGGTGGAGCCGACCTGGAAGCGCCTGCCCCAGCAGCCCCAGCAGCAGTGGAAGTCACAGGCCGAGCATTGGAAGGGCACCTGGTCCTCCCCGCAGCCAGAGCACGAGGGGCCTCCTGCAGGGGCTGGGGGTCCACTGGGGCCTCGACATAGGCCCCCCAGTCCTGGCCCACCCCATGGGAACTCCGAGTGACCAGAGGGAGGTGCTGGGCTGGGCCCTAGGAGGGCAGTGGGCCTGTGGCCCCAGCAGAACGGAATGGAGCTTGAGGCTTGGCAGGGTTTCCATGGCTGTGAGGGGGCTGGGTGCTGAGGGCAGAGGGTCAGGGGGGCTGCCCCCCCAGAATTGAGCTGGGGCCCTTGGGGAATGGAACTCAAGGAGAGGGTGGCCCTGGGGCAGAACACCCTACCAGGACTGGCAGGCGCCTCAGATCCATGAGTGGACTCCCAGCCTAGAGGTCTGGAGGGGCCAGTGTCCTGTGCTTCCAGGGGTCTTGTGCCCCCACATGGAGTAGGCTGGCCCATCAAGTCTGCGCACATCTGCCGGAACTGCCGCTGGTGGTGAGGGCGTACAAACATGCCAAATCCTGTTTTTGGAGGGGTTGCTCAGCCAGGCGCCTCCCACACCCGTGCCCACCCTAGCCCCGCCCAGCCCCCAGGGGCACTTGCTGTGCAGCAGCTGGAAATCCTCAGGTCTAGAGGTGGTGAGGGCAGCCACTACAGCTGCCACTTTCGCATAGTTGTCATCCTTCTTGTATGTGGTCAGCGCTGCCGTGAGCTGGCTGCAGCCTTCAGACCCCAGGGCCCTGCGGACGTCTGCCAAGTAGGTGCTCACGGTGGGCTGGCCCAGTTGGCCCACTCCTGGGTGCCCACTGGGCTCCCCTGGCAAGAAAGGACCGGGCTGGGAGATGCACCAGGGACTGGAGTGTCCCCCACTAGACTGGAACTTAGAGGCATTTCTGGCTGCAGGTACCTGTGTCGGGAGGCCTGGAGGACAGGTGAGGCCCACCCTGGTTCAGATGCACACTGGCGTCCAGCTGTCCTGCCGCACCCTCAGCAACTGTCAGCTTGGGGTCAGGCCCCCGCGCTCCTGGAGAAATGGGAGCAGCACTCCTGGGCCTGAGCCCAGAGGGAAGCACTGCAGGTTCTTGGGGTCTGGAAAGTCCCTACAGGAGGAGGTGTGGCTGCAGGGAGACTGGCCTCACGCCCCCAATGGCAGCGCAAACAGCAGGCACAATGCTCGGGAGGGTTCCTGGCAGGATTGCTCAGCAGACCACAGAGAGCAGATGTGAGCAGCCAGTGGCATGCCCAGAGGGGGTCAGCTTCAGGCTGATCGAGCCCAGGGCCAACCCAGCCCTGGGAAACCCCTGGCAGGAATGCTAAGGGGTTCTGCCCATGCGTGGGCCGCCCACCTAGGGCCAGGCAGGTGGGAGTGGGCGCCTCACCTCCAGGCAAGCTGGGCTTGGGCCCATAGCCGCAGCCCTGGCCCGTTAGCCTGCGGCAGGTCTCCTCAAACTGCTGCTTGTGGTGGGGGCGCACAAACTGGTAGAGCCCTGGGGTGGGGTGGGGCGGTTGTCAGGATCAGGATGAGCCCGACTTGAGACCTCGACCCTGAGGTGAGCTCTGCCTTCCTGGCACCTCACCCCGGAGCAGGCTGTGCTTCCCAGGGTCCTCAGTGAAGAGGGGCCCAAGGCAGGCGGTGAGGTGATTGAGGTCATCCAAGTGCTTGTAGTCACGCAGGGCCCGTGTGAAGACGTCAAAGCTGGCCTGGCTCAGCACCTGCTTCACAGCCGCCATGAACAGCTTGGCCCTGCCCGCCTGGTCACTGGGACACGCCGCCTCCTGGGGACATGCACAGAACCACTCAGGGCAGCTGTCCCCACTGACTGTGAGGTCAGGGAGTGCTCATCCCGGGCTGTTGCCAGCCCCCAGGGCTGGGATGTACTAGGTGGCCACCAGCCAAGGCGCTCCCACACCCACATAAAAGGGGCTGTTGGCCAGCGTGCCCATGGGGCCATCACAGCTGACATGGAGCTAAGTGAGGGCCACAGTCGGGGCCTGGGTAAGCAGGGCAGGCCACACACCCATGGGGGCCTCTCTGCAGGCACTGCAGGGGGTGGGTGTCTCTGGGTGCTCCATCAGGCTGAGCTGCCCTCCAATAACACATAACCATCCTGAGTGTAGCACCCTATCTCCGCCAGGGCCAGACTCTGAGTGCCCAACAGGTCCAAGGGCAGTTTTCAATCTGAGGCTCAAGGGCACCTGGGCTATGTGGCTCAAAGGGGAAGGGGGGGGGGGCATAGGAAGGGGGTATGTGGAGGGGGTGCAGAGAGCTGGCTGGGCCCACAGCTCCCCCTGCCTCCCTGAAGGCCTCTCAGGCAGGAAGGCGGTGTTGACTTCCTGGCCAAAGGGCACATCATTAGTTCTATGAGGCCCAGAAGTCCCCCAGGCCCCAGCTCCACACACCCCGGCCAGCAGTTTCCACCTGAGCCCCCCACACTGCTGACCACCCAAGTGTACCTGTGGGTGGGGGGCACTGACCAGCTTGATCCTCTTCCTGCCCCCTCGCTGCTCGTCCACCAGCCTCTTCTCATGCTGCAGCGACAGCGTGGAGCGGCGGCACGCCTGGGGACACAACCACGGTCCCACCAGCGCTCTTGGCAGCAGATGGCATCCCCCAGGTGAGAGGGAGGGGGCTTCTGGGCAAAGCCCAGATCAGGCCCCCAGGGGAGACCGAGTTCCCCTGTCACCTGCTCCTCCCCAAGGATGGCTGTGGCCCCAGACCCCTCAGTCTGCTGCTCACTGCTCTCCAGGGCAGCCAGCAGCCCCCTTGGCCTCAGCCGGGTCAGCGCTGGCTCCTGCTGGTACTCCAGACACAGGCTGCTGTCCGAGGCCCCAGCGGTAAGTGAGCCTGCAAAGACAGGAGGGGCAGTGGAGGAAATGGGTAGCGGCAGAGGGGCCAAGGAGCCCTGGGTACCTCTTTGCCCCACCCCACGCCCCCACACCTGCAGGCCTCCGTTGCAGGCTGGGCACATGCACGTCCAGGCTCCTGGCCCGCCTGGGTGGGAACTGAGGGCCCAGCGACAGAGCCCCCGCAGTAGTGGCCCCATCTCCTAGGGCTGGGCTCGGGGTGGCAGCACTGGGGGCTGGTGCAGGCATCTGGTGGGAAAGGGGGGGTCAGGAGAGGCCCTTCTGGAGACAGCCTGTGGAGCACAGCTGCGGGGCCACTTGGGGCTCACCATTCTCTGGGCAACACGGAAGAACTGGGCCACATCCCGCACGACAGGGCCGAAGCTGTCATATACTTGGACAAATGGACGCACCCAGGAGGGCAGCTGGGCCCTGGCATCAGCATGGGTGAACCTGGCAGGGCAGACTGTCAGCAGGTCCCTGAGGCCCTGCCCATCAGGGCCACACCAAGGACTGCTTTATGCTGCCCTCAGTCCCATGGGCTTCTCCAGGACCCTGGTCAGCTCTGCATGGGTGGGCCCAGGGTGCAGTAGGGATCCCTCACCCACCTGTGGTCACAGAGGAAAACAGCCCCGAAGTCCTGGCGGTGCCTGATCACCCGTCCAATGGCCTGGTTCACCGCCCTGGATGCTTGCTGCCGGTACCACTCTTGTCCTGAGAGGAACTGTGCAGGCAGGGGTCAGCATCTAGGCCTCCCCCGCCCTGGGCCCTGGCCTCACAGCCTCCTCACCTGGCCCCTGGTTCCACTCCTGCCCCGCATCTCATCCAGGAACTGCATCTTGAGGATGACCCGGGGGTCCTTGCGTGGGGGATATGGGAGGCCCGTGACAATCACCCCACGGCCGTTCCCATCTGCAAAGTCCAGTCCCTCGCTGGCCTACGGGGAGTGGAGGGAGAGCTGCAGGGCACAGCTGGACCCTTTCCCTGGATTGAACCCTCATCTGGCCTCCTCCTAGCCCAGCCCCTGCTGCCACCCTGGGACCCTCCCTCATGCCCAAGGTCCCCCTGCCCTGTAGCAGGGCCGCACCAGCAGAGCAGTTGGTGGCGGTCAGCCCCTGCTATCGGCATTTGGGGACAGGCTGCAGTGGGATGGGGGCGGCCACCTGACCCACAGAGGCCTCACCTTTCCCCGACACACAGCCAAGAAGATGGCCCCACCAGAGCCCGGAGAGGCCACCTTGGCATAGTACGCGCCGATGACCTGAAAAGGGAGCCAGTCAGTGGAAGGCCATGCCTGCCCGTGGCCAGTTAGAAAACTTGGCGGGGCCCCCAAGCAAGGGTGGGCTGGGGAGGGAGCTCTGGGTCTGCTTCCTCAAGAGCAGCCTGGCCAGGACTCAGCTGCTAGCACACAAGAAAGCCAGACCTGTGCTGGGCAGGAAGCCAGCTGTCCGGCAGACACACCTCCGAAAAGCCCCCTTTGCTCCTGGGCTCCACAAACATGGGCTTCGTCTCCTCAACCCGCCGGGCAAAGTCCCCAGCCTGTGGGGGTGGGAGGGGCAGGGTGACTGTCATGCCTGTTCCCCTGCCCTTGGCTGCCCCCCGCCCCCTCTATGCAGGGCCGGATCGGGGTGGGGCCGCACCCGCCAGAACTCCAGGCTCCTCTCCATCACCGGGTAGGAGGGGAAGAACACCAGCAGGCCATGAGGGACCACGCGGGCCAGGTTGCCTGGGAGCAGAGGTCTCACCTGCTCAGGCTGGGAATAGCTGGACCTGCAGGGTGCCCTGGGGACAGGGGCTCGCCCAAGGCCTCCCTCCCCCAGCAGGAACAGGGACTCCCCCACAGGCTGCCTCCCCCAGCAGAGACAGGCCCTCACCCAAGGCCTGCCTCCCCGCTGAAGGGGGGCTCACCCATAGGGCGCCTTCCCCAGCAGGGACAGGGGCTCACCCAAGGCCTTCCCCAGTGAGGACAGGCACTCCTTGGAAAACCTGCAAGAAGCCAAGGAGGCAGCTGTGAGGGGCCCTCTCGGCCTAGGCTGACCCCCTCAGACCACCTGTGAGTCCACCCTGAGTAGTGGGGGCAGTGGGGACCTGGCCACTGTGTGCACGGTCTTCACCCAGTCCTCCCCTCCTCTCCCAGCAGCACAGCCCACGGACGCGCCTCACCGTTTGTCAAAGGCGGAGCTCAGCTGGGCTCCATCAGGGCCTCTTGGGATGACCCCCACCCAGATCTGGTGCTTGTCAATGACGTGGGGGTTCTCCAGGCAGACAGGGAAGGGGCTGAGTGGCAGGAGGGTGGGCTGAGTGGCTGCTGGTATGCACAGCCCTTCCCGGCTCCCGAGCCCCCAGTATACAGGGACCCCTGGATGAGGGCCACATTCCTGCAGCCCCAGTTCTGCTCCCCAGCTCAGGGCTGCCCCCTTACATCTGCATCTCCAAAGCAAAGGAAGACAGGGGGGCCAGTGTGCCACTGGTGAGGATGATGGAGCGCACTCCCTGGCTCACGAGCTCCTGCATGCTGTGGCCGGGGCTGAAGCACCAGTAACTCAACACCTTCCCTGCAGACAGAAGGGGTGCACTGGGGTCAGAGTGAGGGACCTGCCCTAGGGGACACACTGGGAAGAGTACCAGCCTGCATGGCCGTCCCAGCACTGAGGACAGCCCCATCCACCTGACCAGCCCCGACTCTGTCCCTGAGCACTGGAGGAGAGCCACATGTACCTGGAGGGCTCCAGGCCTAGCCCTGTCCCAGCTGCCACTAGTGCTGGGGACAGAGGGTCACTGAGGCTAGCCCCAGAGGGCAGAGGCAAGGAGGCTGGGGCAGAGGGGCAGGCAGGACCCTGTGCCATGCCCCCGGCAGAAAGGAGGCGGCTGGACAACTTGCACAACAGGGTCAGTTCCCAGACACTGGAAGGCCAGTGACGGCACAAGCCGAGTGATCCCGGCAGGGTAAACAAGGTCACTGGTTCACAGCAAAGGCCCAGCAGTTCCTAGAAGGGCCAGCCAGGCTGAGCCGGGCCTCCCAGAGGCCAGCACCCCTAGCCACGGGCAGCCCAAGCCTCAGACTGACTCTAAGGTCCAGCTTGCCCAGCAGGGGTGAGATGGGACCGAGGGTGCAGGAGGCTCTTGAGGAAGGGGTGGGGAAGCCTCAGGAGCTTGTGCCCCAGCCCCCCCCCCCCACAAAGGAGGCTCCTCTCTTGTGGGCCTGCCCCCACTTCTCAGCAAAAGCAGATGAAGCAACTTCCTGTCAGTCCTCCCCACCTCCAGGGAGGGGCAGTTTCTGAGAAGCCACATGGTTTCCAGAGAGGGCACAGTGGTGACCATTGCCCCCCTGACCTGAACAAAGGCAGGAGGTAGAGAGCACACCCCTGCCAGGCTGTAGGAGATAGGACTGGTCAGAGAATGAAAGTGTGTAGACAGGGACACCCACCCTCCCCCCATGACAAGGAGTCACTGCAGCCCTGGGACAGCACAAGGTGGCGGGGACTGAGCCTTCCCCTCCCACCCCAACAGGGAGGTGACAGGCAAGCCCCCTGTGAACGGGGCCAGTCATCCTAGATAGGGCAGGACTGGCCAGAAGTCCCCTGGGCTGGGTGGGGGCCACACCTTGCTTGGTGGGGGCTGCAGCGTTCCAGGCATCTGACCTCTGCACTCGGCGCCTGCCACTGTCAAGGTGGATGTGCACCTGCAGGACAGAATGCACTGTGGATCAGGTTACCCAGGTCCAGTGCATCCTCCCCACCCCAGGAGATCCTGTGACCCCAAGGTGGCTCCCACCTTGTAGAACTTGGAAGCTCCTTGTCCCCACATAGAGCCAGGCTCATCCTCGGGAGGGTTAGTGTTGAAGACCATCTGGATGGCAAGGGACAGTGTGGGCCCTCTTCAGGGACACACCTCCTCAGCCCATTTCTGGGCTCTCCCAACCTCACAGGGACAGGGCCCGCTCAGCTGCTGCCAGCCCGGGAGGGGTCGCAGGCATGGTGGGTAGGAAAGGTCCTAATGACCTCACAGCAGAGCAGCAGGCCCAGAGCCCATAGACAGATGCTGGCCTAGCCTGGGCTGCAGTGCACACACCAGCAGGCCAGAGAGAGCAGGCCTAGTATACACGAGTGCCTGTGTTCCTGTGTGTGCCCGTCCGTGTCCCCGTCCCCCACCACACCCCTGCCAAACTCCCAGTCCTCTGAGGTTGAGAGCTCACCCCCACAGCGAGGCCAGGGCCAAACAGCAGCGTGAGCACTGCTCAGCCTGTGTTAAGAGGTGGGGGGCGGGGCCCGGGGGAGGGGAGGGGAACCTTGCCTGGGGGGGGACCCCATGCCTCCTCTCCCATGGTGTTGTCCTTAACTGCCCCCCTCCTTGCCCTCCACCAGGGGCTCTCTGGCACCCCTCCCTTCCATGTGACCCAGGTTTGCATGTGGATATCTGGACAGCCTGCCCCACCTGCCAACGCCTGCCTTACACCAGCCTGCACATGGGCCCATGGGAGCAGGGGCCCTGCGTCCTTCTCAGCACAACTCAGAGTGAAGGCCTCGCAGACAGCGGCACGGGCCAGAGCCTAGCAGCTCTCACCTGGGTGGGAGGGCCCACCTGGCCCCAGGTGACTAAAAACCCCGTCCTCAGGACACGAGGGGGGCAAGGAGCCAGGTGTGTTTGGCTACACCTTCAGACGCTTGGCCCCAGGGAGGGCAGCTGCAGTGCTGGCCTCAGCCTCCCGAGGACCAGTTCCAGGGCAGACGCCTGCTGCTGGGGAAGCCCCCACCCAGACTGGGAACAGGCCTGCCCGCTGGGAGTGGCAGCCCCCAGGCAGTGCCTCCAGCAGGTGAGCAAACCTATCAGCTTCTGCTCAGGAAGGCAGAAGGCGGGCTGAGTCAGGGCCACCTGTTCAGCCAAGATGACTCAGGGCCTGTCACCTGTGCAGGGTTATGAGAGAGGGGCAGCCCTTCTGTCCTGGGTACCAAGGCAACTCCAGAGTATATGTGTGTAGAGAGACCCAGGGCAGAGCCCACTTCCTGACATAATCCAGGTCCCCCAGCCCTCCCCAAGGCTGTGTCCCTCCAGGACAGTGCTGAGGCCAAGGGCTGTCCTACAGGGTGCCTTCATCCTGGTCGCCACCCCACCCAAAGCACACATGTCCTTTGGACACAGCCCTACCTGGATGATGTCCGCCAGCTTCTGCAGTCCCACCGTGTTGGTGAACACCCTGGCACCTGTGGACAGGCCGGTGACTACAAACCCAGAGCCGATGCCCTGGCACCTGAGGCAGGCACTGCACAGCCCACATGGGCACAAGACTGCTCTCGGGGATAGTGGGCCTGGCACTGAGGGGCTGAGGGCCAGGGACCCCAGAGGCCTGGGTGCAGAGGGCAGTGTCCAGAGCAGCCCTGGGAGAGCTATGCTGCCACCTCTACCACACTGTCTCAGCTGAGAGAACCCCAGGGCATGCAGACACCAAGTCCTCCCGCCCCATCCGTTGAAGGGGACGAGGTATGTGTGTGCAGCTCAGTCAGGGTGGGACCCTCCTCTGCCTCAAGGGCACCAGCTGGACTTCTGCCAGATGGTGGCCCCATGGGCCGGGGCGACTCACCTCCTGCCAGGTGCTGGATGACTTGGTCCAGTGAGGCCAGGATGCAGGCCTTGGTCTGAAACGTGATCTGGGCCTCGGCAAACAGCTGGAAGATGTAGCTGCCACAAGGGGAGGAGGCCAAGGCACTCGCTCAGGCAGGGCCACTCAGGTGGGGGCTGGGTTGGGTGGTTGTCCTGGGTGGCCTGGGGATGACCTAGGGGAGTGGGACACCTCGGGGCAGGCAGGACAGGTGGCTGAGGAATGCAGCAGAGCCTTGAAGGTCAAGCTGGGGCAATGGCAGCGGTTCGGTGGCATATCAGGGGCCTGGACTGGGATCACGGGGAGCTCCATGCTGTCCCCACACCATCGGGGGAGCAGCCACCACTCTGCATTGTGAGGGAGCAGACAAGCCCAGAGCTATCTGCCACCTACCTCTGACCACGAGCAGTCCCTGGGGTCAAAGGCCCTGCCACTCAGCCCTCACCTCCCAGGCTTGGTAACACCAGTGTCTCCGGGCAACACGATGGCATCAATGGCTCCTTCCAAGCGAAGCAGGATCACTACAGCAAGAGGTAGCCATCAGGCAGGCCATGCTGCCCCCCCACCCGCCCCACAGGGAGGCCGTGCCCCCCCCACGAGGTGGGTGGCACTCACTCTTCAGTTTTGCCATGTCTTCAAGCTCCACATTCAGGCCTAAGTGAGAGAAGCCGGGAGTGCAGTGAGGGTCAATCCCCCCATCCCGACACAGCAGCCCGGGCCACCGTGAGCAAAGCTGTGTGAGCGCTGAGTCGGTCGGCCCACGTCACCACCCAGGACTGTGACTTCACTTGGACAGGGGGCTGCCGCTGCTGCATTAAGGACACAATCTCACCAAGGGTGCCACCAGGGTCAGAGCAGCAGTCCCATCTTAAACCCCTGAGACATGAAACTAGCAGCTCAACGAGCAGAGCCCGGGGGACCCTGGCCCAGCCTGAAACAGGAGCAGAAATGGACTCCCCCAGAACCAACAGAGAGCCCTGTTGGAAGCGGGGTGGCATACTGGTCACCTGACTGTGAGACTCCATGTACGTTAGCACCCCTCCTGCCACACAGTGGACCTCTGGCCATTCTCCACTCCCCCTCTAGCAGTTACTGACAGAGCTACAGCCGTGCACAGCAAGGCCAGGCATGGGCAACAGAGTGGCAGCTTCTGCACCACGCTGAGCAAGCACCCCGTCCACAGTCCTGTGTAGGGGACAGAGGCAACCCCAGGTGGTCAGACCATTCAGCTCAGAGCAGCCCCCCAGAGGCCGGGCGAATGAGTGTAAGCCAGAGAGGCAGGAAGCCCTCACAGGCCCCACCTCGGGCATGGGAAAAAGGTCACTGGCTGGGCCCACATAGCCCTTGTCAGCCCTGGCACAGAGCTGGCTAGAAGAAGCCACAGCTGGGAGACGTTCCCACGGAGCAGCAGACTCCCACAGACCTGCACGAACGGTGGGCCTGGCCAGGTTCGTCAGCAGCCCCTAGACACCTCCACAGCTGACACTTTGGTTCCCCCGCAGCAAGAAGGCAAGATGTGGAAAGCAGTCAAGGTCTGGGTGATGCTGGACACTGGGAAGCCAGGCACCCCGCCTGCTCTGCAGGGGTCCCTGGGGCCGTGAACTCACCCGAACCCCCCAGGCCCACGTCAGGCTCCAGGTAGAACTCCCGCTGCTGTGCAGCCCGCGTCTGCTCCTCCAGAACCTGGTCGATGGCGTCCAGCCCAGAGGCCAAGTCTTGGGGGGTCAGGTCGAAGGAGGCCGACTCCTCACACATCTTCTCCTGGGAGCCCAGAGACCAGTGTCACGGACAGCCAGGCAGACAGGTGTGAATGGGGTGTGAATGGGGCCGGCAGAGGCTAGAGCCTGTCTCTCCCCAGAGCCAGGGCCCAACCGCTCAGAAGCCAGGGTCTCATGAGCCACAGCCCATCAGAATCAGCATTCCGGCTTCTCTACAAAACTGAGGACCAGGATGGAGGGGCTGGGGGAACAGGTCACCCCACTGGTGGCCCTCGCACCCCTCCCCCATGGAGCTGGGAGGGGCCAGGCAGGGTAGTACTGGAATGGCAGGGGGGAAACTCTAGGACATGATCAAGGCCGGCTGAGACCCCACTAATCAAAAGGAAGGGATGTGGGCAGTGGCTGGTGTTTGGTTCAGGGCCCGGGAAGATGAGGGATGGGGCAGGGGCAAGCCTGGGCAGCAAAGCCCCCCTGCCCAGTGCTCGAGTCTGGACAGGGCTCTGGCAGCTGCTGAGGAAGGGAAGGCAAGGACTGCCTGACTCACCACGTTGTGAGCTTCGTCAAAGATAACCACCGTGCCCTTCAGGTCAATGCTGTGCGCTCTGCGGCTCTGCACGGACATGGGGTGTGGTGGGGTGTGGAGGGGGCTTCGGTCAGTGCTGTGCCCTCTGCACAGACACAGGGGGACTGTGGCTGTGCCTGGGCAGGGTGGGGGGACTGCCGTTGGCCCAGACTCAGGAGGGGGAGAGAGAAACTGAGGCACTGCCCCCCCCCAGGAAGGAAACATGTCCTGAACCATCCACAGGAGGAGAGGGAACGAGAACAAGGCAAAGCTCCTGCATTAGAGGAGAGGGGGAAACTGAGACTCTGGCGCCAGCTATCCCCTAGGGTTCAGATGTCTCTGCCAACCTCAGGCCGCAAAGGGCAGCCAGGTTTTCTATAGGACCAAAGTCCACGTTGGCGACAGGGTCAGGGTGGGGACAAGACTGAGACTTCTCCACAGGCCCCGCACTCTCCCCTCAAGCCTGCCCACCAGACTGCTGCTCCACCATTCCGGGCTGCAAGACCCCTCGTCCGCATGTCCCCTGCCGGGCTGGTCTGCTACTAGAGTCCTCGCCCCCCAGCCTGCCCCTCCCAAGATCACTTAGCTGAGTCCACGTGTGGTCCGCTCCTGGTCTGCCCAGCTCGAGGCTGCAGGCCAGGGGCACAGTGAGAGCAGACCTGTGCAGACGGCGCCCTCTCACCTTGGGGTCCAGCAGGTAATTGTACGGCATGAAGATGATGTCAGCTTGTTGCTTCAGGTTTCGGGACAGGTAATACGGGCAGACCCTGAGAGAAGCCAGAGGGAGTGAAGGTGTAGATGGCCACCCAGAACCCAGAAGGGCACTCCCCTGGCTCAAGTGCCCACTGCGCCATGGGGCATGGGGAGAAAGCAGGCATGCAGAGGTATGACCCCCTGCCACCCAGTTAAAAGGTCATCCTGCATTCACGGACCTGGAGGACTGAGGGATGGGGGTGGGGCTACATTTCTTGGAAGTGTAGCCATGGTAACGAGTCACCTAGCTCTAAAATTTACAAGATGAACACCGATTCTACCTAGACATATGAGGTAACACAGAGCATGCCGCATCTGCCCCTTCTTGGCAGGAAAGTCCACTTCCCCACGTGACTCCCCAAAGCAGAGAAAGCAGCTTCCAGCACCCCTTTGACCAAGCAGGGTCAGGGAAAGGAAGCTGTTTCTTCAGGGCACAGCCCCACCCTCCCCTCCCCACAGGACCCATCCCACAAGTGACTGAGGCTGCCTTGGGAGGGGAGGCTGGGGGCAGGGGAGGTCCATTTTCACTCAGAAGCGCTGGTTTCTGAAATACTGTGCAGTTGACTGGTGTCCTAATTTAGGAGGAGAAAGGGGAATGGAGTGCTCATGCTCAGCCTGCCAGGACGGACTCCACTGTGACAGGCAGCCCATCCGGTCAGCCCATGGGGTCCAAGGGGCGAGGGCGAGCTCCGTACTTGTGCTTGTTCCCACTCCTGACCAGGTCCTCGATGTCCAGGATGGGGGTGACCAACTCCTGCTCCAGACTCTTCTCTGGGGACACAGGAAACAGTCAACGCTCACAGGATAGCACTGCAGGGCCTCCCCATGCCATGATGCTCCCGGGGCAGGGCTCCCTGTCCCTTGCAACAGGAGTGGCATGTGCAGCCAGCCACAAATTAAGTCCCCAGGAAAACAGCTGTCTTGTGGTGCACACCCAGGCAAAGCCAATTCGAGGCCCAGTAAGCTGCCCTATGCACAGCCCGTCCTCACAGAGGCTGAAGGGCATCAAGAGGCCCAGGCTGGCCAGGGCAGCCTTTTCCTAGGGTCACATGCCCAGCCCCCAGCCCACACTGCCACTTCACTCTCAGGCATGGCCCATAGGCCCCACCTGTTTCCAGGGCCCACACAGGCTGGTGGGCACCCGCCTCGCCACAACACACAGACTCCCCCAGTCCTGCGCACAACTCAGGGCGACCTGGATTCTGGATGGTCAGGAGATTTGGGAGAGGAGGGGAGGGAAAAGGAGAGAAGAGGCAGCTCTTCAAGCCCTGGGAATGGGGGTGGGGCCCCCTATAAGAAGTACCCCAAGACGGCAGCTCTGGGAAGGAGGTGGTGGGAGCAGCCAGCTTCAGCAGCAACACGGCAAACAGACACCGATCGCAACCTCCGCCACAAAGCTGGGACAGCCCACAGCTGGGAAGCGGGAAGGTGGGGGGTGAGGGGGTGCTAAGCGGACCCAGGCCCAGGCCAGGGTGACTGTCTTTGTGGAAGAACCCTGGAGCATTCCCAACCCTCAGGGGCAAGTCAGGGGGGCTCTAGCACCTTGTCTCTCAAGGGCACACTTCCCTACCATCCCATCTTCGGGAGGGGTCTCTGCCTACTTCCTACCTCAAAGAAGCTGAGACCTGAGAATCCCTGACTCCCAGGAGGCCCAGCAACAAGGGAGCCATGCTGGTGGGTGGTCTGCAGCCAGGGGTGGGGCAGTGCTGAGGTCTGGGGGCCAGCAGATGGCAAGTCTGCCCCAACCTGGCTGGGATCTGGGCAGGGCCAGGGCAGAGGGAGAAGGCACCGTTATGGCCCACAGGCTGGCCTTGGCGAAGATCAGCTGCCCTGAGGCCACAAGAGCCGCTGATTGCCCCAGCACAGGCCCCGACCCACCACCATCCAACCAAACAGCCAAGAGGAACGAGCCATGGCAAAGAGGCCTCTATCAGCCCTGCAGGGCACAGGGACACCCCAGGGTGGGGCAGGCTCCTGGCTAGGGCTCTACACCAGCACTGACCTGCACTGCACTGCAGGCCCAGGGAAAGCCACAGAGCAGAGCAGGTGGCACAGCCTGAATATTTCCAGGTGACATCACCTGGGCCTCTCCCTCTGGGGCTGGAAGTCTCAGCCCAGGAGGCAGAAAACCCAGAGGGTCAGACAGTACCTGCCTGACCCCCAGACCCACACAGCAAAAGGCCAGCTGTGCCAGGCAGGGGAGTCAACAGCTCCTGGGGCAAGAGTTTGGGCACACGGAGGCTACAGCCACATGCCCCGTGCTAGCCTGGACCACGGGTACAGCACAAAGACACGCCGCAGACGGCAATGGGAAGTCCAGGTTGAGCTTACGAGGACCTGGGAGTTCCCAGGAGAAGAGAACTCCCAGCACCGATGTGACAACAACACATGGGCAGTGCTGTCCACTAGGGAAGCATGTCAGAGACCACGCCCCCTCACCCCCTACTGCCCTCTCTGGCAGCAGGCAGGGTTCCCACCAACCACTCGAGCACACCCTACAAGCAGCCATTTCCAAAAACAAAACCTAACCTTTCTGCAGAGTCAATTCCCTGTGGGGCAGGAGAACTGCCCGGTGGGTCTCCACAGAAGAGAGCACCCCGTTGAGATTTCTCATGAGCCCTCCCCGGACACAGACCTACCTGCTCTCTGCACAGCTCCCAGCAATACCCATCCCACCCTGCTGAGACAAGCACGGCCCCTCAGGAAGCCCTAGGTTCGGGAGGCAACGGGCACCGAGGCCGTGGCCCAGGAAGCCTTACCCATCCCCTCCCCTGCCGCTGCTTCGCCCCCTCACCGTCAACGTTGTTGTAAAAATGGCAGGTGCGGCTCGACACCTTCCTGCGGCACAGGTGGATCTGGAAGGGAAGGGTCCCAGGGCAGCCAAGGCCACACCAGGCTGGGGGTGGGGGGCTGGGCCAGGGCAGCCCACACTCCACTTCATCCCTGACACCCACCTGCAGATGGTTACTCTCCTGCCTCTTCACCTCAGGGTGAATGCACAGCTGATCCCGGGAGCCCAGCACACACACTCGGGGCCTAGTGGGAAAGAAACAGGGGGGAGGGGGAGGGGAGCTGTGTAGAGGAGGGTTTTCTCTGCTGCCGTGCCCCCAGGGTAGACAAGGAGACAGGCAGGGAAATGGGCCCAAGAGGACAAGGCTCTGTCACCAGGGACAGACGGGGTGCCAGGCCTCCTCCTGGACTGAGGCCCCCTGCACAACACTGGGTGAGTAGGGCATCGAGCCCCCATAGGAGGCTCCTCTGGGAGTCCCCCCCAGGGTTCAGAGGCCAGGCCCCCTCACAAGCGAGGCAGCAGGGTCTCCATCCCTCCCTCAGCTTGACATTGGAGCACTGCCCTGCAGGAAGCTGTCCAGGAAGACAAGGTCCCTCAATCCCTGGTACCAGGCGGTACTAGCTCCCTCCAATCACCAGAGGAGGGAAGGCTGCTCTACCCACCGGTACGAGGTGCTCCGTAGCTCGCTGATAACCTGCGTGAGCTGCGAGTGGGTCCGTGAGGCGTAAATGATCTTCGGGAGGTCCTCATAGCAAGCTGCCCAGAAAGCTAGATCAGTCACAGCTCCACCTCTCAGCCCAAGCCAGCATTTGCTGAACTCAGTGGCCATTGGCTGCTGACAAACTGACATCCCACTGCCAGACAAGGGGCAGGCCGGCATCCACACTGTCTGAGATGACGCACCAGCACCCTGCTCAAAGGACTGCTGAGGCCCAGGTGGGCACATCTTGCCCAGCCCCGCCCTTCCTCCCTTCCGGGGCACTGTGGGAGGAGAGGGCAGGAAGGAGCATCACCTGGAGCATCGCTAGCAGTGCTGGCGGCGACCCCCCAGGAAGAGGAGGCCTGCTCAGGGAACAGCTCCCCCTGTGTCCGCTCGGCGATCTTGCGGGCAGAGATGGTGTCTCGCAGCTGCTCGCGCCAAGCCAGCGTGGTGCAGAGCAGGCAGAGCGTCTTGCCCGTGCCCGTGGGGCTCTCCAGGATGCCGTTCACCTTCTACAGGGGCGGGGTGGGGCCGGGGCTCAGGAAGGCGGGGCTGGGGCCCGGAGACCCTGCCCCGCCCCAGAGGAGCGTCTGGGACTAGACAGCTCTGCTCAGTCTGGCTGCCCACCTATGCCAGGTGGAAAAGCCCTGTGGAACTCTGGGTAAGTTAATTCAGGACTTGTTAGAAAACAACTTACAAAGCATTACCCAAATGTGACACCATTTCAGCCTGATATAAATACCGAGAAGAGCAATGAGGTGCCAAGTCTCAAAATAGGCCACTGCTGTTATGTTGGGTGACTACCAGGTCCCAGCTGAAGGGAAGAAGTGGCTTACATATAGGCTCTCCGAGGGGAGTCCAGGGGGAAGCCTGGGAGGCGTGGGCGGACAACAGTATCCACCCAAGCCCCGGATGCAGGAGCTTAATGCACACAGACCACAAGAGCAGAGGGCACAGTGGGGGAGGCAGGAACGGGCAGGAGGTTGAGGAAGCTGCATGCCCTGGGTGCCCACCACTGCTCCTCACTCAGCCTCAGCTCCAGCGTGCTCATCCTCCAGGAAAGCTCAAACTCTGGGCCCACCCCCTTCCTTTTCCCTTCAGTGAGAGCCCCACCCTAGCCCCTCCCATTGTCACTGTCTGAAATCCCCTTCTGTTTACTTCATTGTCACTGCAAAGGTGTGAGGCCGTGGGGAAGAAAAGGTGTCAGGCCTACCTACCTACAGCCTAGCTCTGTGACCTGAAACCCCACCCCTCCCCCCCACCACCCTAAGCCCTGATGGCAGCTCTAAGTGCTGGTCCCTGGGACCCCATCACCCAGGAGCCCCCAGGGCCAACAGCTTTACCTTCTGCAGACACTCCAGGACCTTAGCCATGTACTCCTCCTGGCATCTGTATGGCGGGAACGGGAAATCCACAGTCACACCACCCAGGCTGATCTTGGGCATGGTAGGAACAGGCGCCCCAAAGGCAGGCTGGTCAGGTCCAAGAGGCACAGCTCCCTCTCAGCATGTCAGGTGGGCAGAGGGCTGTGCTACCCTGCTCAGGGACAAAGCCAGACGTGCACAGCCTTCCCTTACAGGCCACTTGACCAGCCGGTGGTGCCTGCAGGAAAGGTTGGAAAGGGGGCCTGTAGGAGGGTGTCTGGACCAGCAGGGCCATTAGGTGGGCCCCCCTTGCCTGGCTCTCGACCCCACAGGGCGCCATCCTCCCCTCGAGCTGCCGCCAAGACCCGTCAGGGCCGGGCCACGGCTCTGCACGCTCTAGGCTAGCCACCTATACACTCGGCGTGGGGCCAGGCGGAAGCCCTGGTAACTTCCCAAGACCCCGGTCTGGCCAAAGAGCACGCGTGGTTCTGACCGGGGTTCAAATCTCTACCTTCTCTAGATCTCAGGTCCATGTGGACACTGGGACTGACAGACCAGGAAGTCAATACTGAGCGACGGTCAATCCCTCCCGGGACCCTGACAGCAAGGAAACGCAGCGCCCATGCAGGGACGAGCGGCCCCAGGACGCCGCGCGGCCAAGCCGCCGCCAAAGGGCTGCATGTCGGAAACCTACGAGCTGCCTGGCTGAAAGAACCAGGCCCAGGGTCTCCGCGGGAGGCTCCAAGGTGGGTGGGTGGGGGGCCCGGAACGTACCGACTCAGGGAGCGCCGCTCCCGAGCCTCGCCGGTCGGCGGGTTCGGACTTCGCGGGCTGAAGTGCGCCGCCGCAAAGGCTGCACTTCCTGAGCCACTTCCGGTCCGTGGCGCTGCGCTCCCCGCGGGAACCGCTTCCCAGACCTAGGGGTCCGCTCTCATCCGGCCCGCGTGGGTCTCTCGCGCGGGTCAGCGCTCCAGGGCGTTGGCACCGCCTTGCGCAGTGGTAGAACTGGAGTCTCCTGTCTTGATATGGGCCCCACGAGGACCTCCATCCACGACTACCTCCCTAGGACGTGCACCCTCTTACTGGTCAGCCGCGGATTGCCTGAGCCTCCTCCAAAGTGGGTTCCCCTGGTCTACCCTCTTTACACCATACAAATCCGCAGGCATTTTGGCAAGGCTGGGATCAGACCCTGGCACCCTCCCTTTTCAAACCTACAAATGGCCGCCTGATGCTCCTGATTGGAATCTCCACTCATTGCTATCCTCCCCTTCTCCATGCCAGTCATTTTTCTGGTCAGCTTCTCCACTACTCTTGGAGGCTCCTTCTCTAGGGATGATCAATTTTGCAGGCCTGCTTTGTGCTAGGTGCTCACGGATACTCATCTCTGGCCACCCCAGCTGTCTCAAAGGGCACCAAGAGACAATGCTGCTGTGAGGTCACCCGCCACCGGCAGAGGCCATGGAGTCGGAGCTCTGGGTGGCCTGTGCTAGGTCCTAGGGTCTTTCTTAGATTCCCGCCTTTATGCCACCTGTATCCATTGGACTCCCGACATAGTGGGTCCATTCCATGCCACCCTCCAGGAAGGGATTACAGGTGTGAATCTCAGCGGGAGGAGGAGAAGATCCTGGCTGTCCAACATGGCCGAGTGCTCACCAGGCTCTGCGTTGGCCACTTCTGAGATAAGGGCCTGTTCTGTCTGCGTTTTGCACAGAGCCAGCGGCCAGCGTATGGTGGTGCTCTCTACATCCCGGTTGCTGAGGGCATCTCTGCTCCCCCAGAAAGGGGAGGCCAGGACCCCAGAGACTCAGGACTTCCTGAGTTGGTATCAGAGGCCCTGGAGAGATGCTGAGTGGCCCAGTCACATGAAGAGGCCCTCTGGCCCCCACTGCACCTTGGGATCATAAGCTGATCTGCAGGGCATCTGTGAATTGTAGCACATGGTGACTGTTTTACTGTCCTAAGCCTGAGACGAGGGCCCCCTGGTGTTGGGCTGTTAGCTACAAGGCTAGCCATTCAAAACCACTAGCCGTTCCTCAGGAGAAAGATGAGGATTTCTACTCCCATCGAGATGTGTCGTCTTGGTAACCCCCAGGGCCTGTGTGAGTGGGGACCAATCCAATGACTGGGTTTGGGGTTTTGAATTCTGAGCGGGGAGGGCAGACTGCAGGGTCCCCTAGAACTACTGCCAGCTGAGCCTTGGGTCTGGTCAGCCTTTTGGGTCTGCATTGGTGGACAGAGCCCCGTCAACATGAAATGGGGTATCTGTGATGATTAGAAAGCTGGAAGGAGATGAGGGTCTCCCTGGTCCAGAGTCCATAGAAGCCCCACCCCCACCCCCTGGGATACCACGGTGTTGGGGGTTGGGTATTGACTTGCTGTTTGGTCCTGGGAAGACATCCCTGGGGGTGTGGAGGGGAAGAGGGGAGGAGACTAGCACAGGGCCCAGCACTTCCTCCAGGGCAGGCAGTGTGGCATAGGCTGTATACAGAGGCAAACTGTCCCTTGAATGCACTGATGAGAGCTAGGCAGGATGTTTGCCTGCTCAGGGCTGGCTGCTGGGTCAGCTTTCACTGCAGTTGGCCTAGGCCTAGCGAGGCTTCTCTGCCTTCAGCCTTCACCCCTGCCAGCCCACAGGCTGCCTCCAGAGGCTGGGTCTTCATGGCACCAGCCCAGGTGAGTGTGGCTGGGCTGGGGGAGGGGTTGTTCACTGCTTGAATTCTGGATGTGAAGCAGGACTCCTCAGCCAGGAGAGGGGACAGGGCCATAAAGGTCACCTCACTGGTCATTCTCTGACATTGTCACAGGTATCCGTTCATTTACTGGTTCACACCCATGAAAAGGAACACTTGTGGCACTACATGGAGCATGGGGACCCCAATGTGCTGGACATTGCTGGAGGAGAGAGCCCCCCCCCCCTCTGAGGAGATGGGGCTGAGGTTCAGTGGAGCTGAGCCGGGGCTGGTCCACAGCAGGGCCAGGCCACCAGGCCCTCATGAGGGCAGGATCACAGGAAGGTGCTCATCAGAGGTGTGTGGAGGAGTCCTGGGTGGGGTCAGAATTGGTTTCAGAAGGCCTAACTTACAAAGGGCCAGATGGTGGGAAAGACCTTTGACATCATGGCCTTGGTGGGAGGCTACAGGATGGCATTCCAGCCCTTCTACCCCCCACCCAGTATCCTTACCTTGGGCTAGGTACTGTGCCAGGGCTGCCCAGTGCACCTGTTTTACAAGACTCAGAGGGTACATTCAAATCACCATGAGTAAGAGGCAGGCTGTCCCTTCAACTTGCTGACACCCACCCACTCCACACACACAAGAAGATTCTGGAGGGGCGGGGGGGTCATGCCTCTGGATGTGAGTCTGTAGGAGTGGAGCGTGCATGGTCCCCATCCCGCCACCGTGGGAACACAGCTGCTTCCTGCCTGCCACGAGTGCTACTCCTCCTTTTGTCCCTGGGCTCAGCCGCTACAGGGACTGGGGTTCAGGGTGACCCCCAATGCTTGTGAGTCTCTGGTCTTGAAGCAGCCCCACCCCACCCCGTGTACACTGGCACCGCGGCCCCAGTTCTCACTGGATGTCCTAGGAGGAGCCTGCTTCCAAGCTCATTCTTGGCTTTTGTGGAACAGAACCAGCCACCCCCCGTGGGTGGCTGGAGGCTGAGGCCTGGCTGGCTCCTGGGCCCCTCTGTCTCTGTGCTTGCTGCCCCTTCCTCTCCAGGAGAGACTGCCCACTTGAGCCAGGGAGCCGCCCAACAGCCCCTCTGCTGAGCCCACTCCCTGCACCTGCCCCTGCCCCTCTCTGAGCCCACTTCTCCCTCTGCAAGCCCCCCACCGCCCTCAGAGGTGTGCTTGTTCGTGGCCCCTCTCATTGCCTGTGTCATTTCCCATCTTCATCTCTCAAATGGGACCCCACTCCATCTGTCTGGGTCCCGGATCTCGAGAACGTGGCTTTCACTGCAGGAAAGACGCCCCAGCTCAAGGATCTCCCCAGGGAAGAAGGGGGGGGCGGTCTGCCCCTCAGTGCCAGCACTCAGCCCTGCGCCTTGGAGACAGGCACTTAAGTTTCCCTTGCACCTAAGACACCTGCCCTCCTCCCTCTTCCCTCTCAGCTGGGGATCTGTACGTGGTATTGCCCCGCCCCCCAACTCCCAGGGAATGGGGGCTCATCTCGCCACCGCCACCCCCCAAGAAACCAAGCTGGGGGTGGGAATCCGTGGTGCTGAAGGGCGGGGGTCCAGTCGGGTTGCAGGGCGCTGCGGCGTGGGCCCTCTGTGCACTGGCCCCGCCCTCCCCTCCCCTCCCCCCTCCGTCCTTCTGACGGCCGCAGCCCCTGCCGCGTCGCGTCGCCGCCTCCTCCCTCCCCGGCACTGCAGCATTCGCCACTGCAGCTACAGCCGCGCCCGCTCCCGGCCTCCGCAGCAGCCGCCCGTAGCACCATGGCCAGCACCGTGTCCGGTAGGCGCCCGG